TGTGGTATGTGTGTGTGTGTATGATGTCTCTGTCTGTGTGTGTCTGTGTTGGTAGAGGAGAGAGAGAGAGAGGAGAAAGAGAGAGAGGAGAGAGAGGAGAGACAACCAGAGAGGGGGAGGGAGAGAGAGAGAGAGGGGAAAGAGAGAGAGGGGAAAGAGAGAGAGAGGAAAGGGAGAGGAGAGAACGAACGAACGAACGAACTTTATTTTCAAAGGGTTACAAATTAGGCACGCAGGCCTGTCTTACATTCGGCCCTTCCAAACTTCCATCTTTCACACAGCAGTTGTATTTCATATATGAAACATGTTATATTCATGTAATAATATGCATATTATGGATATGAAGTCAAAAACAAAAGCATGGGTGGTAAAATATGTGCGCATGCTCACGCGCGAACACACACACACCCACATACACACACAAGCCCAATCACTCACTTACACACAAACACAAAGGCACCCAGTACACACATACATCCACATACATACATACACACACACACATACACACAAAATCACATACATACATACAAACTCACATACATACATACACACACACATACACACACACGCGCGCGCGCTAAAACACACACGCATACAACCCAGACACATACAGACACACACATGCAGTCACGGGCACACACAAACACACACACAGATATATACACACACAGACACGCACAGCCACACATACGCACACAGACATCAGACGCATAACCCGACACAAGCAGAAAAGTAGGTTCCACCGAGATTTGAACTCGGATCGCTGGATTCAAAGTCCAGAGTGCTAACCATTACACCATGGAACCTGCAGAGACAACGAGAGAGGGGGAGGGAGAGAGAGAGAGGAGAAAGAGGGAGAGGAGAGTGAGAGGAGAGAGAGGAGAGAGAGAGGAGAGGAGAGAGAGAGGAGAGTGAGAGGAGAGAGAGGAGAGAGAGAGATCCAATAAATCTCACCAAAAAAATGTGAATTCCCTGTTAGAAACACGGACACACGTTTCTGACGTCACAGCTGTAGTTCAGGGAATGCTGACCTCATTTATTCATGTAATTTCCCCGTGAAGAAAAAAAAAAATGAGTCAAGAAGACCAGTTCCGGCAGATAATGGAGTTGATACATCTTATCAGACTTCATGATGAGATAGCTCATTTTATCTGTTGGACTACATCGTGTGTTGCACGTACTTTCATAATGTGTCTATGGTTTGATTCAGCACACCAAGTTATCTAACGTAACCAGACTTCTTTCCTAACTTGGAAAAAGGTAGAACACCCCCCCCCCCCCACCCCCCGGTGTTTTCCCCATTTCTCCCCTTCCCAGAGGACGACAAGGAAATAATAAATATTGCATCACCAGGGATTCCTTATATAGGTGATCAGATCTGTACAGGAAATATCGGTCACTGAAGTGACATGTTGACACACTGATGGGTAGAGATGGGTAGTAAGTACATCAAGGTACAGCTGGCTTGAACGTATGCTCACATAACTAATACAGTATAGAGAGAACTTCTCCTGCATAGTGCTATTTTTGGTATCTGTCTGCCTGCTTGGCTGTCTGTCTGTCTGTGTGTATGTCTGTCTGTCCCATCTCTTGATGACGTCCTACAAAATGTGATCCGATGAAAAGGGCTGTAGTCTGAGGGCTGTGTTAGGGCTTAGTCTGAGGGCTGTGTTGGGGCTGTAGTCTGAGGGCTGTAGTCTGAGGGCTGTGTTGTGGCTGTAGTCTGAGGGCTGTGTTGGGGCTGTAGTCTGAGGGCTGTGTTGGGGCTGTAGTCTGAGGGCTGTAGTCTGAGGGCTGTGTTGGGGCTGTAGTCTGAGGGCTGTAGTCTGAGGGCTGTGTTGGGGCTGTAGTCTGAGGGCTGTGTTGGGGCTGTAGTCTGAGGGCTGTAGTCTGAGGGCTGTGTTAGGGCTGTGTTGGGGCTGTAGTCTGAGGGCTGTGTTGGGGCTGTGTTGGGGCTGTAGTCTGAGGGCTGTGTTGGGGCTGTAGTCTAGACTCTAGAGGTCACCGGGTACCGGCAAGGAACATTTTGAGAGCCAGTGTTGTGTTTTCTCTGCGCTTTTAACTCGACTGGGAATCTTTGAGGTGTAGTTAATCTGGCTTCTTGCCATCACGTGACTTTCCCCACCCGGTGCACTCGACAGCAGCAACTAGAAACATCTCCCAGATATTCACATACAAATCTGTGTGTTCTGTGTTTGTAACACCGGTGTATGAGATTACACACACTCTCTCTCTCTCTCTCTCTCTCTCTCTCTCTCTCTCTCTCTCTCTCTCTTCTTTACTCCCACTTTTTTCCCACACCAATATCTTCCTTCTTTCTATCCCTCCCCCGCCCCTTCCCTCTCTTGTTTTCGTTCTTTTTTAAATCTTTGTTTTACGGACTGTGTATTTTGTTAGGTCCCTGTTGGCCTAATAAATCCGTTTCTATGTTAGCTGTATTTGTTTGTTTGTTTGAGTATCCAGAAGCCATGAGTTGTTAACCCTTAGGCTCGGTATTATGGATATCGCAACCTTTCGGCCTTGATTTCATTGTAAATACCGTAAATCTGGGAGAAAATGTGGCTTTCCTGCCTACCCCCGGGATTGAACCCGGACCGCAAGGAGTTCGTCACCCGGTCTCCGCGCAATCCGGTTTAGCCAACTACGCTAGAGAGCCGGGCGTTAGCTATATTTAAGTAGTGGCTATTACATTAAAAAAGTTACAATGATAATTGTAGTTTTGAATAATGAGAGCAACAATCTAAAGTAGCGGGTGAGGTAGAGAGATTAATCAGCCAGCCAGGGAACAACGGTATGTCATAAACCTGTCACCGTTAGAAGACAAGGGACTAGGTACAGTGGGCCGACTTACACACACTCAGGTAATGCTGACGTGTAGTCCACCACAATTGTAGGTACAATTTAAACATAAGGCTGGGCAAGAATGTACGCGAAGGGATCCGCCATTAAGGTCAATGTCCCCACTGAGTTTTATGTTCCCTGTCAGATATAGACGTGTAGGCATAAAGCCAAACCCAAAGATTTAAATGACAGAGGAGGTTGCCAGGGCGGGCACTCCTTGTCGGGAGTCGGGAAATGAGGGAGGGGGTAATTGGGTGTCAGATGTTTATAGGCCATCAGACCCTGCCAGAATTGAAATGTCTACACAGGGTGGAGGGGGAGATAGTGGTAGAGACAAATAAAACATTGCAGACAGAGACTGGGATTATTAATGATGTTTTTTTTAAAATAATGGGCAACATGCATATGATACAGTCTGGTGTGCTTAATTTTATTGTATTCAGAATATTCTGGTTTAGCATGCTCTCTCTCTCTCTCTCTCTCTCTCTCTCTCTCTCTCTCTCTCTCTCTCTCTCTCTCTCTCTCTCTCTCTCTCTCTCTCCCTCTCTCTCTCTCTCCCCCCCCCTCTCTCTCTCTCTCTCTCTCTCTCGTGGTGTGCACATGATCCACTAGACCACTTATTTGGTGTGCACATGATCCACTAGACCACTGGTTTGGTGTGCACATGATCCACTAGACCACTGGTTTGGTGTACACATGATCCACTAGACCACTTGTTTGGTGTGCACATAATCCACTAGACCACTGGTTTGGTGTACACATGATCCACTAGACCACTTGTTTGGTGTGCACATAATCCACTAGACCACTGGTTTGGTGTGCACATAATCCACTAGACCACTGGTTTGGTATGCACATGATCCACTAGACCACTGGTTTGGTGTGCACATAATCCACTAGACCACTGGTTTGGTGTGCACATAATCCACTAGACCACTGGTTTGGTGTACACATAATCCACTAGACCACTGGTTTGGTATGCACATAATCCACTAGACCACTGGTTGGTGTAGACATGAACCACTAGACCACTGGTTTGGTGTACACATAATCCACTAGACCACTGGTTTGGTGTACACATGAACCACTAGACCACTGGTTTGGTGTGCACATGATCCACTAGACCACTGGTTTGGTGTACACATAATCCACTAGACCACTGGTTTGGTGTGCACATGATCCACTAGACCACTTATTTGGTGTGCATATGATCCACTAGACCACTTATTTGGTATGCACATAATCCACTAGACCACTGGTTTGGTATGCACATAATCCACTAGACCACTGGTTTGGTATACACATGATCCACTAGACCACTGGTTTGGTGTACACATGATCCACTAGACCACTGGTTTGGTGTACACATAATCCACTAGACCACTGGTTTGGTATGCACATAATCCACTAGACCACTGGTTTGGTGTGCACATAATCCACTAGACCACTGGTTCGGTGTACACATGATCCACTAGACCACTGGTTTGGTGTGCACATAATCCACTAGACCACTGGTTTGGTGTGCACATGATCCACTAGACCACTGGTTTGGTATGCACATGATCCACTAGACCACTGGTTTGGTATGCACATAATCCACTAGACCACTGGTTTGGTATGCACATAATCCACTAAACAATTGTAGCTTCTGTAGTCACATTCTCTTTTACTTTATCCACAGGATATGTATCAGAAGATGATCGAGGTGGACTCCACAGCACCCACGGCAGAGGAGCATGAACACAAGGCAGTGACCAAACCCAGGTACATGCAGTGGAGGGATGAGATTAGCACCTCCGTGGAGCTAGGCTTTCGTGTGGAGGGCATCAAGGTATGCGGGGGCTTGTCACTGTGAGGTATGCGGGGGCTTGTCACTGTAAGGTATGCGGGGGCTTGTCACTGTGAGGTATGCGGGTGCTTGTCACTGTGAGGTATGCGGGGGCTTGTCACTGTGAGGTATGCGGGGCTTGTCACTGTGAGGTATGCGGGGGCTTGTCACTGTGAGGTGTGTGAGGTTTGGAAGCTGTGAGATATGTGTATATGTGTGGAAAGGGAGGGTGGGGCACCTTGTCACTGTTAAGGTATTCCCTCATCACTGTATTTTTATCTGCCACATGTCATTGCAGCCTCTCTGAGGTCATTCTCCAGAGAACATGTTAAGCCATACAGAGAACATGTAAAGCCATGCAGAGAACATGTAAAGCCATACAGAGAACATGTAAAGCCATACAGAGAACATGTAAAGCCATGCAGAGAACATGTAAAGCCATGCAGAGAACATGTAAAGCCATACAGAGAACATGTAAAGCCATGCAGAGAACATGTAAAGCCATACAGAGAACATGTAAAGCCATACAGAGAACATGTAAAGCCATGCAGAGAACATGTAAAGCCATGCAGAGAACATGTAAAGCCATACAGAGAACATGTAAAGCCATACAGAGAACATGTAAAGCCATACAGAGAACATGTAAAGCCATACAGAGAACATGTAAAGCCATACAGAGAACATGTAAAGCCATACAGAGAACATGTAAAGCCATGCAGAGAACATGTAAAGCCATACAGAGAACATGTAAAGCCATACAGAGAACATGTAAAGCCATACAGAGAACATGTAAAGCCATACAGAGAACATGTAAAGCCATACAGAGAACATGTAAAGCCATACAGAGAACACGTAAAGCCATACAGAGAACATGTAAAGCCATACAGAGAACATGTAAAGCCATGCAGAGAACATGTAAAGCCATACAGAGAACATGTAAAGCCATACAGAGAACATGTAAAGCCATACAGAGAACATGTAAAGCCATACAGAGAACATGTAAAGCCATACAGAGAACATGTAAAGCCATACAGAGAATATGTAAAGCCATACAGAGAACATGTAAAGCCATGCAGAGAACATGTAAAGCCATGCAGAGAAAAGGAAGACGGATAACTCTCGACTAGTAACATAATGGAGTGGACAGGATGTGATGTTTCTACACTTGTGAGTGTTGCTAAGGAGGGAGGATTCTGATTACTGATAGTTCCTGCAGGAGACCCCAGGCAAGGATTCTGATTACTGATAGTTCCTGCAGGAGACCCTGGGCAAGGATTCTGATTACTGATAGTTCCTGCAGGAGACCCCAGGCAAGTATTCTGATTACTGATAGTTCCTGCAGGAGACCCCAGGCAAGGATTCTGATTACTGATAGTTCCTGCAGGAGACCCTGGGCAAGGATTCTGATTACTGATAGTTCCTGCAGGAGACCCCAGGCAAGGATTCTGATTACTGATAGTTCCTGCAGGAGACCCCAGGCAAGGATTCTGATTACTGATAGTTCCTGCAGGAGACCCCAGGCAAGTATTCTGATTACTGATGGTTCCTGCAGGAGACCCCGGTCAAGGACTCTGATTATTGATAGTTCCTGCAGGAGACCCTGGGCACCCAGTGATCAGTTTCTTGGTTGACATCTTTCTTTTCCTTTAAGTGTTCCTACCAATATAGCTGCCAAACCCAAATTTATATACTTGGGTAAAAACCTGGCCACATCAGAGTGCTGAACCCAGACAACTGTCTCAGCTAGCAAGTTAACTGTCCTATGATATCCTGTACTGTCCTGCGTGTCACTGTCTTGGCTAGTTAGTTAAATGTCCTGTAACATCCTGTACTGCCCTGTGTGTCACTGTCTTGGCTAGCAAGTTAACTGTCCCAAGTTCAATCTAGCAATTGTCCTTGTATCGCATAATCCTCAAGAATAGCCCATAGTTTGTTTCTTTCAACTATCAAAAGGTTTCTCTTGATCTACAAACACAGTATTCCGTTCATTGTCATAGTCAGTGGCTTTTCTCGCAAACTTGGTATACATTTTTCCAATGTGGTTTAAAGTGATGAACCTCTGTACGATGCACAGTCTCTTGTATTACCTTTCTTTTTCCAAACTGTCACTGCCAGTCAAGTGGAACTTTCCTTTCTTCCCATGCTATATTAAAAATTCTTGTTAGCTATTTGATGCCATTTTGACCAAAGCTTCTGTAGTTTTTCCATCTGAACCAGGTGCTTTGTTTTTAGGGCTCTCCTGTATAACAACTTTTACTTCTGATGTTAAAAGTTTAGGTTTAGGCACAAAAGTGATGTTATCCGGATTAAATCAGTAATTACCTGTCCTGTGTGTTGTCATGCACATACATCCATGATATTTGATTATTCTTTATGTAAACATTGATTGGAAATTGAGTGTTGTTATTCAACATGTTGTTGTTTCTTCATCTCCCAGAAAAGTAATGGCAATTCCAGCAAAGATTTCAAGAAGACCAAATGTAGAGACAGTGTTGTAGAAATCATGAAGTCCTTCATTGGAGACAATGAAACTATTGTGGTGAGTGCCAACTAAAAAATTGGAAATGTTCCCAGGGCAGGCAAAAGAAATGCTTTAAGGACACCTTGAAGTCTTTACTCAAGGCATTTTGAATGAATGACATCATTTGGGAGGCTGCCTCTCAAGACTGAAAAGCAACTCTACACAAGGGTGCAGCCTCATGTAAAGCAAACAAAACAGCAAGAGTGATTAAGAAAAGAATGGACAGAAAGGTGACTGCAGGAGATCCTCTCCCTGGCACAACGCTCATCCCCTGTCCTCACTGTCCAAGAACTTTTTGTACCCGCATCGACCTCATCAGTCATCTTCCTACTCATACTTGATGAAAAAGAGAGGTCATCATCATCTTGATGGACAGCACACACATACATGGTTCCCTCATAAACAGTGTCCTGTCTCAGGTTGGGCTAGATACCACTAGAGTCCTTGGTTCCCTCATAAACAGTGTCCTGTCTCAGGTTGGGCTAGACACCACTAGAGTCCTTGGTTCCCTCATAAACAGTGTCCTGTCTCAGGTTGGGCTAGACACCACTAGAGTCCTTGGTTCCCTCATAAACAGTGTCCTGTCTCAGGTTGGGCTAGACACCACTAGAGTCCTTGGTTCACTCATAAACAGTGTCCTGTCTCAGGTTGGGCTGGACACCACTAGAGTCCTTGGTTCCCTCATAAACAGTGTCCTGTCTCAGGTTGGGCTAGACACCACTAGAGTCCTTGGTTCCCTCATAAACAGTGTCCTGTCTCAGGTTGGCTGGACACCACTAGAGTCCTTGGTTCCCTCATAAACAGTGTCCTGTCTCAGGTTGAGCTAGACACCACTAGAGTCCATGGTTCTTGGAAGTTAGGAATGACTGGCATGAAAGCAGGCTTAGACAGGAGTTTGCAGGCAACTGAATGTTGGTACACTGTCTCTAGCTGTACACAGTTCTGGTCACATCCAGACTCTAGCTGTACACACTTCTGGTCACATCCAGACTCTAGCTGTACACACCTCCCGTCCCCTCCAAGTCATGACCCAGAGCCCAGGTTGCTGGCTATATCAAGATGGCAGGGACATGGCCAATCTGACAGTTATTTAGATCTCAGTCCAGTTGTTGTTTACTACCAAAGTTATCATCAGATAGTTTTATATAGCACTTGTAATGAGATAGTTTTATATAGCACTTGTAATGAGACAGTTTTATATATAACGTGTAATGAGATAGTTTTATATAGCACTTGTAATGATATAGTTTTATATAGCACTTGTAATGAGAGTTTTATATAGCACTTGTAATGAGATAGTTTTATATAGCACTTGTAATGAGATAGTTTTATATAGCACTTGTAATGAGACAGTTTTATACTGAAATTGAAAATGAACATCTTCTGCCGAAAGACATAACGCTGATTTTAGCCAGATTTCTTCAAATTTTAGATATAATATTTATGCATTGTCGATTGTTGGGAAGCATTATTTCATTATTTTCCTTTTGGGGATGACTGGGATGCACAGACAGGAGAATACGCACACATCCACACACAAATATGTTCTTTAAGTGACCTTGTCTGGAAGTCTTACTGTAGAGATCAAATGTCAAGTCTTACTGGAAAGATCAAATGTCAAGTCTTACTGGAGAGATCAAATGTCAAGTCTTCCTGGAGAGATCAAATGTCAAGTCTTACTGGAGAGATCAAATGTGAAGTCTTACTGGGGAGATCAAATGTCAAGTCTTACTGGGGAGATCAAATGTCAAGTCTTACTGGATAGATCAAATGTCAAGTCTTACTGGAGAGATCAAATGTCAGTCTTACTGGAGAGATCAAATGTCAAGTCTTACTGGAGAGATCAAATGTCAAGTCTTACTGGAGAGATCAAATGTGAAGTCTTACTGGAGAGATCAAATGTCAAGTCTTACTGGAGAGATCAAATGTCAAGTCTTACTGGAGAGATCAAATGTGAAGTCTTACTGGAGAGATCAAATGGGAGTCTTACTGGAGAGATCAAATGTCAAGACTTCCTGGAGAGATCAAATGTCAAGTCTTACTGGAGAGGACAAATGTGAGTCTTACTGGAGCGATCAAATGTCAAGTCTTACTGGAGAGATCAAATGTGAGTCTTACTGGAGAGATCAAATGTCAAGTCTTACTGGAGAGATCAAATGTCAAGTCTTACTGGAGAGATCAAATGTCAAGTCTTACTGGAGAGATCAAATGTCAAGTCTTACTGGAGAGATCAAATGTGAAGTCCTACTGGAGAGATCAAATGTGAAGTCTTACTGGAGAGATCAAATCTGAAATCTTACTGGAGATATCAAATGTGAAGTTTTACTGGAGAGATCAAATGTGAAGTCTTACTGGAGAGATCAAATCTGAAGTCTTACTGGAGAGATCAAATGTGAAGTCTTACTGGAGAGATCAAATCTGAAGTCTTACTGGAGAGATCAAATGTGAAGTCTTACTGGAGAGATCAAATGTCAAGTCTTAATGGAGAGATCAAATCTGAAGTCTTACTGGAAAATTATCTTGATTTCATTCTTGAGGAGAAAATATGAGCCAGAAGAGAGTTCTGAATTGCTAACTTGTCATTAATTAAACTGTATATGACTGAAATGTATATTTTGTTTCATCCTAACAGGCAAAGTACATCAGCCGGTTGAAGGAACTAATGGCAACACAAGAAGCCTCAGAGTTTTTTATGTCACATGAGGTAATTTCTTGCTGTTTGAGCTGTCAGTATCAGCTGCTGTTTGAGCTGTCAGTATCAGCTGCTGTTTGAGCTGTTAGTATCAGCTGCTGTTTGAGCTGTTAGTATCAGCTGCTGTTTGAGCTGTTAGTATCAGCTGCTGTCAGTATCAGCTGCTGTTTGAGCTGTTAGTATCAGCTGCTGTCAGTATCAGCTGCTGTTTGAGCTGTTAGTATCAGCTGCTGTTTGAGCTGTTAGTATCAGCTGCTGTTTGAGCTGTTAGTATCAGCTGCTGTTTGAGCTGTTAGTATCAGCTGCTGTTTGAGCTGTTATTATCAGCTGCTGTTTGAGCTGTTAGTATCAGCTGCTGTTTGAGCTGTTAGTATCAGCTGCTGTTTGAGCTGTTAGTATCAGCTGCTGTCAGTATCAGCTGCTTTTTGAGCTGTTAGTATCACCTGCTGTCAGTATCAGCTGCTGTCAGTATCAGCTGCTGTCAGTATCAGCTGCTGTCAGTACCAGCTGCTGTCAGTATCAGCTGCTGTCAGTATCAGCTGCTGTCAGTATCAGCTGCTGTCAGTATCAGCTGCTGTCAGTATCAGCTGCTGTCAGACACAGATTCCTCCATAATTCAAACCATTTATGTATCGTTAAGAAATATTTCTTTATGCGGGAAGAAAAACTAGTCAGCTTCACAATAACACAATCACAAACCACAAATTATTGCTGGCAGCTAGAAAGCCTTCATCAGCATAGGACACAGATGTCTGCAGACAGGTAAAATACACCAACATGTTTGCTGTCTAGAACACAGATGTCTGCAGACACAGGTCAAATAGACCAACATGTTTGCTGTCTAGGACACAGATGTCTGCAGACACAGGTCAAATACACC